TGCTTTCGTACCAATTTAGGTACATTTTTGCTACGATTTTTCCCAATTCATGGAAGTAGACACGTTTTTAAGTATATTTGCTGGATACGCGAACTATCAAATGCTGTTCAAGCCATTATACGTTCAGCTATAGAAAATAATGCATATTATTTTCACCCAGAAAATATATTATTAGCCATGATAACCGACGCTGATCCAGAGATACGTAATGATGGGTACGAAAAAATCAAAACAGCACGTCAATATCCACCAGCAGGGCTTCGCGTGTTCAAGGTCCCAAAGCGTGGCGTAATAAACTTTGAAAGTAAGTCGTATGTCAGCATGATCGATTGGAGTCAGTTTAAGATTACGGAACCCCCTTGTGTGCAGTTCTACCCAGATAGTGAACTTACAATGTTTCAATTTTCGGAAAATGAAGTGATAAATATCCCAGGTAAATATCTTCAAACTAAAAACTTCACGGGTCTTATAGTACTTTTAAATCATTTTTTTTTAGAGTTCCTCTGTCATTCCCAGAATACCGAACGGTTTGTGCGTGTTGTTAGTGAGTCTGCAAGTGCTGTCACTGATGAAAAGCGCCTGGGCCACATTTTTGCAAAATTAGAAAGCCGAGACCAATATAAAAGCCTTGATTCGCGCCAAAATTTGCTTAAGTAGCAATAAATATTGTAAGTGAAATAACTTTTTTGTTGATTATTTTAGTAATATAGTTTGAAGGCAACATTTTCTTGAATTTTTAAGTACTTTCGTTTGGTAAGGAAAAAAATATGCTTTAGGGGGGGTAAAATTTTGTTTCTGCCCTTATCATGCGAACGCGACTTCAAAGCTTAAAAAGACATAGGAACGAAAAGTGAAGCTTCTCAAGACAAAAATAATGACATATCAATTTTAAAAATCGGCCGTCAAATAACCAAGTTACAACGAAAAAACCATTTCGGCTGTATTTCGGAGGGTTAAAAAAAAAAAAAAAAAATTTTTCCAGAACCCTCTCAACATAATCTTTAAATTTAGGGGCGGACATTAGCAACTTTTTTTTTTGTATGGGGACCGACCCAGTCTAATGTACATACAAGTATGCACAATTATACAATAGCCTGGTAGAGCAGCAAAACCATTAAATTTTCATTTTCATTTAATTAGCAGCGAAAGTGATGCGTGAGCTGGTAAATACTCGTCAACCATTCGTAAATATTTTTTTTTTGTAAATTCGTTAGCCTCATTAAAAAAAAACAAATGAACAAAACACTTTCATTTGAATTTGTCTGATATTTTAAAGTAGCTTTAGTAGTTAGACCTAAATGAAGAAATTATTTTTTCAAGTTTTTGAAATTCGATGATTGACTAAGTATGTACACCACGTTCCATTTTTCTTGCGAGCAAAAATATTAATCACATTAGTTGGTTCAAGGCCCTTCGTGAGCCCCGGATGGCATATGCTCAGTAAAGTAATCTTTCTCAAAATTAAAAATCAATTGCATAATATATACAAATGTATTTATATTTGTGTACATTAGGGACCCGTAGAAATTTTTAAACAATAAAATTATGATGCATATTTAGCATTTTTTTACTCGAAATACGCCGCATATCTGCAAATTAATGTGCATTAGAGTGGTCCAAATTTTATATGGTGGACAAAAATGTCATCTTAGAAACCCTCTCAGTTCTTTTTTGTTTTTGTAATATCTGTACCAGCTTTCACTGTTCCACTGTAACCAACACAGGGTGCTCAATGATTTTAAAGTGCGCTACTGAATCCCATTGAAACTGACAAAAATATTGGTGATTTTTTATAAAAAGCTACTGTTGCCATGACAACTGAAGCTCGTAATACTTTTTCAGCTAGTTTAAATTTTAAATGTTCTAAGGTTGCTTAACCAATGCACTATGGTCCCAGTGCCTGTTTTTTTCATTTATTGGGGCTATATTGGTATGTAGTTAATCGTACTCTTAGTTAATGAGTTCGCAGTCGCTCCGACTTTAATTTTATAGTTTTTTGACGTTTAGTTTCGAGCATAAAAAGTAGTGTTTCGTAATTACGCTGGTTTGTCCGAAACTTTCAGAGAAATGTAAAAAACAGACCTTTTTGTTAAGAACAAAATTTTACATGAAAAAAAACGGCCCTTAAGGTAAAATATGTAATACCAGCACGGCAATAGTTTCGTTCAGTGCGGCAATAGTTTCGTTCATTGGATAATTGCGACGATGTTATTATTCTATGGTCAACAAATATGAAGACTAATAAAAGTACTTAACAAAATAATAAAATAAATTAATAATAATAATAATTAATAAAAAAAGGAAATTTCTGTATCGAAAAAGACACTCAAATAATGATTCGCTTTCTTCTATATAAAAACCATATTATCAGTAAAGTGGTAAAGTGTTAATATGTGTATAAATAAAATAATAAAATATGTATCTTTACAACTACACCTAAAAGAAAGTTTAGCAAAAAAAATCAGAATGTTACTGTTGCGCGTACGCACTACGTCATTTGTACATACTATGTTTGTATATATGTACATATAAAAAACTAGTCAAGCCGGTGTCCATTAAGGAAAGCCTTAACAAATTCAACCAAATGAAAGTTCGCATAGGCATGTGTTAATTAATTTTTATTTGCTTTTGTATTCATAAACTATTGTATTCCTTACTTTCATTCATTCAACTATAAATGGTTTGTTCTAAATTTCATTGCCTTTTTTATGTTAAAATAGTGCTAAAATTATTTTGAATTGAGTATAACAGACGCACCGGAAATTGACTATAGTAAATGCAATTAATTAGAATACAAACAAAATATGTATCTAATATCGAGCGCGCTACGTGTGTATGTATGTATGTAGATATTTAACATAAAAGAATATCACGGTTGATAATTGCCGTATGGAAAGGGTTTATATTTAGTAAAATTGATAAAATTTTTAGAACTTAAACATCAAGATTAAAATCCTGTACAACGTTAGTCATATTATTTAAAAAAAAGTGGGAACCTTGTCGAATGCAGTTTTGATGAATCCATACCTTTTTTGTAGCGAGTGTATTTCTTCAATATTAGGAGATAGTCTGAGTTCCCTCTCAGTCGCCAAAATACGATGAATTTTCTAGAAAGCTACATTTCTGATGAGGCAGAAACGGTATAAGGGTTCTTTCGGAAGGCTACTCTTCGCAAGAGTATTGACCGATAAATATGTAATAAGAACCCACACAACATTATTTCAGACCCTTATTTATTGCCACGGAGAGATTATGATTTTAAGCGCTTCGACTCATATTTCATTAGAACTTCAGAGAAATCTCTGGGCGGACGCCAAGTCCAAACTTTTATTAAAAACACACCGTGATTTTCTTGAAGATCTTCACATTCATTTTATTTAAATGTATTTAATAATATTAATAGATTGACGCTTAAGACCGTATCACACGATTGCCGTAATGCGTCAATCAATTACTTAATTTATGTCCCAATCGTGTGTTTTCACAATAAATTGAGTTATTTGGAAATCGGGACCGATATTGTGCTTGTTATTCCCTATCAATTATAAGCCAAGTGCAAGTGATGTGACTGCACAGAATTTGATTGGTGGAATTTCTTTATTGTGCGCCAATTCAGCACAATAAAAATGTGCAATATTTGTGCGTTTGCGGCAAACGTGTGATCTCAGCTATTGCCAAGCATTTGACCGAGTTTCTCCTCCAATTTGTGGCATGCGCCTTTATGTTGTCACTCAATTTCCAAAATAGTCACCGTATTACAACGGACGCTTTATGAAATATCTAAGCACTTCTCTTCGGGTATATCTTCTAAAAGTTTGTGTACATACTATATCCATCGTCCCTGCAAACCAAATTTCCCGAAATCTCAACGAAATCTTTAGGAGTATCTCACTTGTGTAACGATTTTTTCACAAATCTTCAAAAAAATTATATAAAGTAGTTGAAACGAACTCGTAAAGAAATTTCTGTACAAAAAATAAAGAAAATTCTGAAAAAATTCTGCAAGAAATTCTTCACATAGCAGCATTATTTTCATAAAAGAATCGAAGTGTGCACAATTTATTTCATTTTAGAAAGTTCGGCAAAAAATCGGCTGAGATCTTTGCGAATTCTTTAAAATTTCTCTACAATTCTGAATACTCTGAAAAAACGGCTAGCAGGGGTAGGTCATAAGCTCACTTTTGAGTGCTTCAGAAAGCTCTGTTTCGTTCATCGAGTGTAATCCAAAAAGAACGCAATATTCCTTAGGTGGCTTGTTATGTAGCAGTGTTCTTGGGCAAGGATAGACAGCATTCAGGCATGCTGGCTGGTGGGCCCTAGCCAGCTTTACAGTCGGTGGAATTTACTTACCTGCCTTGCCACTTATCAACATTAACATAATTTGGGTCGGGCCTAGTTATTAACAAATCACAAAGATATAAAGCAAAAAAAGAGATGGTAGAGGAGAAAACGACAGAGAGGAAGAGGCCAGTCCTGTCATTCAGACCCCGAGTCATTCCACCCCTTCTATGTGTATTCCGCGAAGCCTTGTATAGGCTGCTGCGACTCCACTCCTTTACCAAAGTCCCTAAGCCTGAAAATAGCCCGTATGTTGTCATAGACCGTATCTTTTTGGTAATTTTCGTCAACTTGGAACGCATGGAATTTTTACGGATTGCAGTGTTTGCACTCGTTTTTCCAAGGATTTACCTCATACTCATGCTCATACTCATGGTTATGCTCAGACTCAGTTTTAGTACTGCTCAAGCTCATGAATTTGTACTGAAAATCGAGTCGGTGTGAACCTCTGACATATATCACCAAAAATTTTAAATTACCCAAATGAATGACTTTTTAGCTTATAGCTTCTTCCTTTCATTTACTCT